TACAGAAAAGAAAAATATATTTTCATTATCAGTTTTCGTATCGAAGTCTTGTTAGTTCGTACGTGAACGCTCTTGATTCTGAAGGTTGTATCGAAGTTCATTCAAGTTTTTGGCAATTTTGGGACCACACATTGTGAGAATACAATTAATTTAATACCTTCCCCCAATGAAAAGCCAGTTTTGGCCCGACCTGGTACTCAAACCTAGGCCCTTCGGATCTAAAGCGACCTAGCTAACCACTTGAGAAACAAGACAGTCAAATATAAGGATATTATTATCAGGTATGAACATTATAAAAATAACTTAAATCGTTTTAAGTATATTCCAGTTAAGGCTGTGGTAGCCCAGTGGTAACGCGCTCGCTTGGGAAACCGAGTGAAGCGAGTTCAAATTCCGGGTCTCGCACCTCTGATATTTTCATGTGCGAATCATTTCCTACATGATTACTTACCACTTGCCTTAACGGTGAAGGAAAGCATCGTGAGGAAACCTGTATGTCTGAGAGAAACTAGCAAGTTTTCAAAAGACGTGTGAAGTGCGCCAATCCGCACTTGGCCAGCGTGGTGGACTATGGCCTGATTCCCCTCGTACTGTAGGGAGGTCCGTGCCCAGCAGTGGGACGTTAAAAAAAAAGGGTTGAATACAATACAATCTTCCGTGGAAGTCTTTCACTTATGCCAAAAAAATCTGGCACGACAAGAGATGGATGCATACCGTATTACATCCACCAGAGAAAACACAATTAACGATACTAAAAAGACAAAAACTTTTATAATCTCATAGGAGACTTCAAAAAGGAGATGCTTAATTGGGTTTATTTTTTTTTATTTAGATAGGTTGTTTAGATCAAAACATGCAAGCTGAATTAAAACAACTTCCTCTTAGAACAGTTGAAATTTTACATTATGGTTCAGTTCCTAAAACAATGACATTTTATGATAATCATGACTTGATTCTCCATCGAGAATTGGCTCCAGACGAAGCCACTCCTCAACGGTTAACAGTACAGACACGAAATTTGATTTACGTATTCAATTACCTATTCTGTGTGTGTTACGCGATATCTTTTGCAATTGGGAAACCATTTTCATAATTCTTTTATTATTTTTAAATGAATACGTTAAACGTTTAAGGGACGTAAAAATTCTAAAAAAATCAAGGACAGTCTAACACGCTCACCAAGGGTTCCGTAGCATGAAAAATTAAGTTTTTGCAAGTTTCGAATGTTTTGTGTTACGTACCTCACTATTACAGCTTTCGAATTTTTCTCTTTACTTGCACTTACTACTAAGTGAAGTTAATGTCTAAATAACATTTGTGACTAAAAAGGAAGAAATACGCCTTTTTATGGTTATTTTTAAATATCTATATCTAATAATATTATAAACGCGAAAGTTTGTGAGGATGTAAGGATGTCTGGATGTATGGATGTTTGTTACTCTCTTACGTAAAAACTACTGAAACGATTGTAATGAAACTTTACAATAATATAGCTCATACATGAGAATAACACATAGGCTACTTTTTATCCCGGAAAAATGTACGATTCCCGGGGGATAGGTTTGTTTTTGTTTTTCTAGTTACTAATATATTGCTAGTAAAGAATAAATGAAATTCAACGTTTAAAAATAATTATCGAAGAAGAGCCGTAGAACAGATGACTTTTGAATACTTAATCACTTCAGTCAAAACTGTTTCTTCTAATTTTGTCTATATAAAAATAACAACTCCTTACTTCGCAAATATGTAGATCCAGATATATTATGTTTCTTTTTGACTTCGTTAATAACGTGGTTTTAATTATTAGAAACTAATGCACGTTTTGGCTTTGCGCTACTTGATATATTTGCGCTACTAGATAAGAAAAAAATATAATCTTAAAAATAGCATTTTAGAATTTATTATATTGTCCACCTTGTCTTGTCGGGCAGCCCACTTCAAGTTCGGTGGGCAGTGTACCATGCGGGTTGCTTCTTGTACTTCTCAGTTAGCAGAATGGACCGAGGGAGTATGCCTTGGTTGTTGTGATCAGCTCCAGCAAGTCTGCCGTAGGGGCGTCGTGGTTGCGTGCGTAAGCGATGGCCTGCGACGTCTAGCCTACCTAGTGGTGCTTTTTTTAACCGGTGACTCTCACATAACCTGTAGGTACCTATGTATGCAGTTGATGTGCATAAATGCATTTCCCAGTGTTAAAAATAAACAATATGGCTTTAATGTCATGTTGGGGTGGAGATCAGTAATTGAAGATCAGATTGCTTTCGGTGGTATTTATAACATCAATAATATGTACTTGATATTTTATTTCTATAAATTATGTTTTCTAATAAATAACACAAAAACCTACCTTTTTAACGAGATATAACACTTTTCAAGACTTCTTGCAAGAACAGCGTCTACTGTATAAGTGAGTTATAGTATAAATAATAATGCTATTTAAGGACTTTACACGAAGCCCTATAACCCGAGTTACATCAAAGATAATCTGTAATCCTTTCTTACCTAAGAAAAGAAAACACTGAGCAAGTATCCTTATACTTAGCATGATCATGTTACGTAATACATAAGTATGTACTCGTACATATTATGTATTACGTATTAGCCACTAACGTTCCGGCCCCGCATTGCTTAAGCCCTAACATTATCCCGCTCGTCTTATTGTAATTGATAATCTATACATATAATAAAATTGTAACTTAGCCGAATCTGTACATTAAATATTATTTGGTAAATTTTATTGAAATAGACATTATTATCGATACAGAGGCCGAATCTATAGTTTTTAGAATATGTCTGTCTGTCTGTCTGTTACCGCATCACAGAAAAACCGCTGGAGGGATTTTGATGAAATTTGGTACGGTGCTAGCTGATTATCCGGGTCAACATATAGGATACTTTTTAATACAAAAACTGCAATGTAAGAGTATACTAATAGGTAAAACCCAAGAGTTTGGTTTTTGGTCACCTGAACGCGGGCGGAGCCGCGGGCAATGCTAGTTTTCTATAAATACAATAACTACGATATATGAGTAGTAGACGAAATACAGTTTTTTTTTTATTTCCCGACCGACCGTGAATCTGAGGCAGGACAACGCCTGCTTATCTTGCTATTAAAAGTGACTGCCTCTGTGGTGTTGTGGCTATACTACATCCAGAGATCCTAGGCTCGCAGGTTGGACCAAATTTAGTTATTCGAGTATTTCTCTTAAGAAAATCTCAGTAACAGCTCGGAGTTCGGAAGTTAACAGTATTTCACCCCCATACCTCAGAGAACACGTACAGGCTACAGTCGTCGGTCCTTCAATTAACTCTCACTGGTCGTGTCGAGTAATCGTCCCAGACTGGAGTATGGCGCAGATGGCTTGTCTGAATGAAATTGGTCGCCGTGGTCGAAATCGGTAAAGAGGACATTCATTTATTATCTGTGTACTTCATCCAAATCCGTCCAGCCAGTACAACGTGGAGAAGTAACAAACATACAATACAAACTTTTGCAATTATAGTATATATATATATATATATATAGATATACTAGCAGTACCCGCGGCTTCGCCCGCGTCCAGACTTTCGATCGCTAATTCACAGTATCACCCGCGGGGCTAATCTGAAGATTACCTGAAAATCTAATCAAAATCGCTCCAGCTATTTTGGAGTCTATAGGAAATATACATATCGATTTTTATTTTATTTAATCAACAATTTATTTATTGTTCGGAAAATGGAGTCTTTTATGAAAATTCTGTGACACATCGACTGCAGCGCCACCTGCAGGATCTATTTGTGAATTCAAACCTTGCAGGGACCCACTTGAACATACACAAAAAAATATCACTAAGATCGTCCCTGCCGTTTAGATGTTCAGTGGCACACCGACTGCAGCGCCACCTACAGGGTCAAACTGGTTGACCAAATCTATTAATATATTATTATTTATTACTGCCTAGATTTTTTCCCAATTTATTTAATTAGCCAAAAGTTATCGTTAAAGAAATCGAAAGATGTCACGGTCTTATTTATTCTCAGACTAGCTTTCTCATGCAACTTATATAAAGACTATAAATGGAGAGTTGAATGGTATTTGAATGTACTTTATTTATTAAAATGAAATTCACTTTTATTTTTAATATAAATGGATAAAGGATTGAAAAACTTTAAAAAAATATATATTTACTATTTAATTTCATAATATTTAGAAATATCACATAAAATTTATATTTTACTCTAAAAAAATAAAAATATTTCAAGCATTATATTCCGCTAAATAGAAAGCGTAACACAAAAATGCTGATTCTTTCAGATATTGATTCATTATTAAAATCTTAATAACAAACTTTTTAAGTAAAAAAAAGGAGAAAGTAAATGGGAGTTTGGTGACAATTGTTGCTGTGTTTTCATAATATTACCCATTCCCATCATGAAAATTGTACAAAATAAAATATTTTCAATAATATGATATTGATAGTGTTAATTAATATTCCTGTAATGGAAATTTTACAATAAACTTGATAGCGGATCCTAAATTCTGAACTAGTATAACAGAAATAAAATAAAAACAATTATTTAAACTTATTGCATTAGTATGATAATCGATACATTACAAATAATAATAATTCACTTTTACATCCCATATGTTACACTAATAATATTATTAATAATTATTAATTAGTACACATATTACAGCTATACTTCATTTGCAGTCTATCCAATGAACAAAGGCTCTGCAGGGCAAACCTTATCACTTTTATGACTTTGTGTATAGCATTTGAGCTTATTTTATTAGGTACATCTTCATAAAACAAAAGTTTTTTAGTACTATTATTAAAAAAATATTCTGCTTAATTTTGAAAGGAATTTAATTTAAAAATATGCTGAGGGTAATCTGTTCTCATTTTCCAATAACAATTATAGCAATGAAAGATATGAGTATGACATACATATCATTAAGTTAATACATGAACTTGAGGTTAGGCTAAAAAATTACTATTATTTTTTACATCATATCACAAGTCATAATTAAAATAGTAGTGTCTTCTCTCTAAATCTCTTATTTCAACTATATCAGTCTTGAGTCGCAACTTTAATATCTCTCTCCAAATGGCTTCTCTATGTTCTTTGTTAGTTATTCCCATTCTAAGCAATGTGTTATCATTGATACGGACTAAAGCCCTTCCTGTAATATCATGCTAGAAATAAAAAATAAATATATAATTAAATTATTTGTGATTTTCTTTTATATGTATAAATATCAAAATTGTATATAATACTTTCTTTATTAAAATTTTATAGTTTGTATAATACTTAATAACTGTTACCTCATGAAACCTTTCCCAATATAAATTATAATAATCACTACAGTGACGACTAAGCCATTTTTGTACGTCAGCCTCTGTCCATAAATATACTGCTTTTGGACGTGTTGTTTTGACCTAAAATTTAAAATTATTATTTAGGAACAAATTACGCTTTCAACAATATTTGTGTGCATAAGCAAATTCAAATAGTTATGGCTATATACCTTAGATTTATTTGAATTCAAGCTAGAGTCTTCAACCATATTTCAATCTTCAGTAACAATGAAATAAAAAGCACGAAAATAGTATTTAAATTAATTGCACAGTAAGTATTTACTAGTGTTTTGTTTTGAGTATTTTTCTAATTTCTATCATAACATGGATGACAAATAAATGATCATTATTCAAATTCATTATTGACTTTTGAGTTTTGACATATTATGTTTGGACTTTGGACACATACAACTAAGGTACAGAGTAAAAATTAAAAAGATAAGTCAAGTGATTTCAGGATTCTACTGAGGCGTTTTCGCGGGTGATGTCGCGATCATTATAGCCCTCAGTATATTGTAAAGCTCTATAGTCTATAGCGTTGATGGATTTTTTTTTATTTTTATTTCAAAATTTGATTTAAATTACAAATTGTGCAGTGCCAAGATGCAAAGACAATGGATATCATTTGTTTCCAAAAGAGAAAAACTAAAGAAATAGTTAGCTAAAGCAATAAGACGACCAAAATTGGCAAAATCACAATCTTTATATTTAAGGATATGTAGACAATATGAATTATTTTTTTCTGGTTCCGTAACAAAAAGGTCAATACAATCAATGCATAATAAAATAATACGTTTTACTATCAAATAAAGTATAATATTATACAATATTAAATGGTAAATTTTAAAACTATTTTTTTCCTAATATAATCTATGCGAATTGCATTTAATATGTCAATGAAGAAGGATCAGTCGGTGCATCTGTCATTTGTAAAAAATTGTTTAATTATTTTATAGTGAAATTCTGTGCCAATTATAATGCTATATTAAATGGATATGGCCCAAAATTTACAAAAGAAGCCTTCAAAGGGCATTTTAAAAACCTCCCGGAGTGTTGATAACCAGGATGGAAACCCGTCAACGAGTAAGCGACCGAAGGAACAGAGGTTTGATGAAATGAATATTATAGAGACATTTCATCCACCAAATAAGGATTACGGCCATATGAAGGTGGATGAACCGAAGACTCCGTTTTCAGAGACCATAGATGGTGATACAGAGCCGGCAGACGAGTTAGATGCAAATATATTGGCTGCAAAACTTGCAGCTAGTATGAATAAGCCGCCTAAATGTACAGAACCTTGTGAAAGTGATGAAGAAGATGAAGAAGAATCGGAGGAAATGCGCCAAAGAAGGTTAGAATTTGAGAAAAAACGAAAAATGCACTACAATGAATTTCAGGTACTGATTCAGTTATTATAATAATTTATTAAAATCGGTAAAAAAATTCGCAAAAATTTTTTTAATAAGCATGGTACCTATAGAAATATTACATGATCTTCATTAATACAAAAGAATTATCACAAAGCACTTTTACTTTATCTATTGGCCACATACCTATTGACATTTTATTACCTCTAATCAGTAATGTTGGTCAAACATTTATAGAGTAATTATAAAATATTCATAATATTAACAAATATAATAATATTGTTTGTATAATAATAATAATTCTGGTTATTTACCTAATATTATGAAGTCAAAAAAAAATTCAGGCATTGCAGTTGGCTCGTCAGTTAATGGCTCAAGAAGAGGAAGAAGAAGATGATGATAAAGCAAAACCAACAGCCACTTGACTACCTTAAATATATTTATTTCACGCTAAGTGTTCCAGCTGGTAAGTGTTATTTTTCATAGTATCATCATCAGTTTTCATCTAACTTATAATGTTATTAAAATGTGTGAAATAGTTATAATTAATATATATATATATATATATATATATATATATATATATATATATATATGTTAGTTTTAAGGTATATATTATGCTATGGGCCTCTGTTTACATATTTAAGATCCTTATGTAAATATTGCCTGAAATAAATGATTAATAAATAAATAAAAAAAAAGTGTTTATATAGGTACTTTATTAACAAAAAATGTGTTGATACAATGTTATCTCTAAAAGCTATGTATGTTACAAATCTTGCCAAAAGTTTATTCATAATAAATTTCACAGTTGTGCCAAGTTTCTAAATTGTTTATCTAAAGTAACTAAATGAGTCATGACAAAATTACACTACTGATTTTTTTGTGAAATAATAATAATTAATGACTACATCTAGATGACTTCTTTAAAAAAAATCGACTTTTTTTAAAAGTAAAATTCCTATCACTTTAAAATTTATTCTAAATAAACTATGTATTTGCTTTTGATAACTAGAAAAATGATTACTACCGATGAACTAATTTGTATTCATAGTAAAGGCTATAGCTGATTTATCTGTTAAGTACATAAATCATTGGCATTAGTAGTCTTAATATATTTTTCTATTCATTTACATTGTACACAAATTGGATTTAAAACAGAGTATCTTCTAGTTTTATGTCCACTTATTAAAACTAAGCCATACAATACAATTCATTGACATAGTTATATACTTTATTTTGGGAGATGTTTGCAGATAACTATCAATAATTTTATGACATTGTCAATAATTTCGAAAGCAATCTTTATGCCTTTTATAAGTTGGCTGACAATTAAAATACATATTGTCACTATGCACTAATTGTTCGAACTACCTACTAACCTACTTATTTAGGCAGGAATTTTGAAGTGTATTGGGTATAAGTATTTAAGCTATAAAATGCTGCTAAAACTTTAATTAAACTGAAAAGATTTTTATACCAATTTTAAAATTATAATTGCTGATGAAAAATGTTTCCTATAGAGAAATTTCTGTTAAATTTTATCATATCATGTTTACATCAGATAAAAATGTTATCATTTACACAAAATTTAGTATCACTACAGGTTACGCAATTCTACATTAGTCCAGATGCCTAATCCAATACAAAAACAAAGAAATTAGATGTCGCTGAGTAGTGAACAACACAAAATGTTTTCAATTTCATCTATGAATATTGAATATGAAAACCCTAGATTATTTAATAATAATTAGAAAAATTATGGAATATATGAACTACTATATGAATTTTACACAAACACCCAAACTAATCAATACATTTAACACCATTTTTTTTTTTTTTTTTTAACGTTGGGAAATGCATTTACGCACGACGTGTGGGACTCACCGGCGTAATACAGCCAGTACTACCCACTAAAACCCAACAAAACCTTCCCCCGTCTTAATGGGGCGTCGCAGGATCGCTTACGCATTCAACTACGACGCCCCGACGGCAGGTCTGCCGAAGCAGACCACCACAACCATGGGGTTGCTCCACAGTCCACTCTGCTATCAGAGAAGTACCAGGAGCAACCCGCATGGTACACCGCCCCCCAAAGAGGGCCACCTCCCACCGCCCACCGAAGTGGGCAACCTTCCTGTGCGTTTCTTAGCTTCGCTACTACTACTGAGCCCCCCCACCACGACAAGGTGAACGCACGTTGGGGGGGAATACATTTAACACCATCTGTTAACATTTAATTAAACTAATTTTTCTTAGTTCCTATTCTAATCTATTTTATAAGACTCCATGGTACCACATTAACTAGCTATCAATTAGAAACAAATGTATATTATATTTTGCTTTAACCATAATCTGAATTCTGAATGTATAAAATAGTTTATACAATTACTAGTGACTCATCCTTGCTTCGCTCGGGTTCCTCCCAAGTGAAGAACAAAAACAAATTATCCCATCAAACCATACATTTTTCCATGAATAATAAGAATATATGATAAAAAATAATCTATGTGCCAGACATCCTGATCCGTTCAACTGTTTTGGCGTAATTGAGTAACAAATATCCATCCAAATTTTCGCATTTATAATATTTATGGGATTATAGATTTGTATTCATTTTACTAATATTCTTTTCAGGATTGATGGAGAGTGGCCCAGCAGACAATATGTTGAAAGTTGTTAGTTATTGACGTATGCATCCAGTGTTCCTGTATGGCTGTAACAAAATCATAAGTGCTTATATACGACTTATTATGAATATTTGTGAAGGTCTTTATATACTTATCAAAGTATAAATGGCCATTTCAATTATTTGGCCAAAAAATTTCTGTGTATTGATCAATAAAAAGATAATGTGATTATGACTTACAAACATAATCCATTATTGCAATTTAATTAATTAATTATGATAAAATACATTTGATTACAATTTGACTTAGACAGACTATTGCTAGAAATGAATGCTTGAATTTTTTTCGTATTTTATATTAAATTAAACCAATTGGTTAAAAGTTCTATTATTTTTGAACCACTTATGTATATCAACATTCTAACCAGCCTGGGACTAGCATCTATATGGTCATCTTCGCTATGTGAGAAATATACTCAAAAACCTTTTAATTAATATTACTAAATAATTAAAAAATAAACATAAATCCCAACGTCATTATTTTAACATGCAATTTTCTCAGCTTTCTTTTACTAACTTTCACTGACATTACTAAGATGATAATTAATTATACTAAAATACACAGCTGTAATCAACTTAAATATCTTTGTTTCTTTATTTTTGTAACCATACCTTTTTTACGATCTGAAGGACCTTCATAAGTTTTCATACATATTATTTTTCATAATTTATTGTATTTTAATAATATTTTGACACTATGCATGCCGTAGCATATTTTTTTTATTTTTCGTTACCCTTTATCACTTGTTTAAAGAAAATTGTAGTATCCAATTCAAGAAAACAAAAATTGTGTGAGTCAGATAAGTTTTATGTATGAGATTTATAAATCATAGCAATAATCGGTTTTCCTCATTACTATCAGTTTTACAGCAATACTGTCTGTGACTTCAATTTTTTTACCTTTAGTTTAACATTTACTTTATATTGTTTATAATAAATAAATGTATTATAATTAAGGTTTCACAGAGCGGTTTAAATATTTTTTGCCGATGCACGACTAAAGAGATGTGCTAGGACTAGGGCACAATTTAAATAAAAATATTAGCAATATCTATACTAACATTATAAAGAGGCAGTGTTGTTTGTTTGTTTGAACACGCTAGTCTCAGGAACTACTAATCTGATTTGAAAAATTCTTCTTGCTTTAGATATCCCGTTTATTCAGGAAGCCTATAAGCTATTTCACTATCCTACTACCCCAAGGGAATCCGATTTGTTGACATAATTACTGCTCCGCTCCCTTGGGTAGTAGCATGATGATATATATAGCCTTTAGCCTTCCTCAATGACCGGGCTATCTAATGCAAAAAGATTTTTTCAAATCGGATTAGTAGTTCCTGAGATTAGCGCGCTTAAACAAACAAACTCTACCTCTTTATAATATTAGTATAGATAAAGATTCATTTTACGCCGCAAGTCAGAATAAAATTAAAACGGCGGTGGCTAGCGTTATGCCACAAATATTATTCAATCTTCAATAATGTTTCAAACCAAGATATAAAAATATATTATATTAAATAGACAAAGCATGCATAGTGTCTGTTCATACATTTCTATTGTGGAAAAAACCTTGCGGCAACTTAATACATGTGGGAAGAGATCATTTGGTTCTTAGTCACCGAGCGAATACGCTGGTAGTTTTAATATTACTCACGTTTCGCATTTCAATGTTGTTTAATGCATATATTTAAAAATTGTAATTTAATATTTATAAAATCTTAAACTTCACTTGAATTTCCTAGATATTCATATTTGCAGGCATAGGTACTCTTTTGCCATTTCATGATCATTTTCTTTTCATATACATAATAGAGAAAAGGTATTTCAGTTTTACTATCAGCTATTCAGCTCTGTTAAATAGTCATAGTAATAGATTGTTTAGATATAAAAAGTCACTAAAGCTGTTAAAGTTAAAAGTAGAAAAAGTTATCGCTTCAATTTCGAATTTAAATAAAGATGAAGAAATAATATTTTCCTACAACACAATGCTGTTAAGAGTTTACAGCGAGTGATATAGTCGCGAAACGAACTGTTCTTTCTACTTTTAGTAAAAGCAATGAGCAATTACCAGCGCCGTTTTGAGCCATGCGAGGGCCCCTGGGCACATAAAAATTTAGGGCCCTCTTAGAAAGTTAAAAAATGTGAATGATAAAAAATAAATTACAAAATAATAAAAAAGGACGGCGTAAACAAGTGAACTAAAAAGTTGGTAACAAGTTGACGAAGGAACAATATTATACAGTCTAATATATACAGTGTAGTGTATAATAGACTTAAAATTGAGCTTCTCTCTTTCCCATGTTGTTTTTTGGGGCCCTCGTGAGGCTGGGGGCCCTGAGCACGCGCCCCGTGCTCTTATGGTAAAGACGGAACTGGCTATTACTATTGCTTTCTTGTGATAGAGCTTATAAATTAATATTTATTAAGATTTCTAACGAATGTAAACGTATGTTTGGGCTGTTCTGCTTTCAAAAACTAAAACGAGACACAACGTTACGTAACATAAATGAAAATAATGTATTTATTGTTGCTTGGAACCATAGACATAGAGAATGAACGGACTGAGCTTTCATGAAATTGACCATTCTCTAGAAAGAGAGAAACCGTACGTGCGGCCAATACATGTCTTTTATTCCAATTTGAATTTATAAATGGAAAGTAAAATATGTAATATTATTGAAAATGATAATATTATAATGGAATGTAAGATAGGTATAAATAAATATCTATCTTCATTAGGCGTATTTCAATGAATACAGCAAACTTCTGGCCGCACATTCGTTTTGTCTCTTTCGCGCTTTTACACCATTTTTAACAGACGACTGGTAAAGAAAAGCTCAGTCCACTCTCTGGAATTTTTGGAACTAAGGACAGCTGATAGAAGTACTTCTACTTAAAAGTAAAAGTGCTAATTGCTGTGTCGGCTGTGGATACTTTGATAAACATTACCCACAGACTAAATAGTGAGTTTATCGGTCGATGTTACGTAGTTCCAGGACTGGCTATGTACCATTATATCTAGTTTTCTATTTTCAACAATAATTAAAAATATACAAAATATGACCATTTAAAAAAAAGATTTTTAGTGGCAGAACAGCCCATTCACTGTGAATAACTTGCTAGATTATACATGAGCATTGAACATTAAACAATTAATATACAGTTATTTAAAATTATTTTTAGTATGTAATAGGTATAACACATTGATGGTATTAAATTATTATTTATGATTGATTGATGATTGTTCTTAAGACAAAGCCCCAAAATAGCAAATTTATCAATTTTTGTTTAAAATATTGTATGGAATGATGTAAAATGAACGTATTTATGACTAGATTAAATAAATACTAAATTTATTTACGACTCCTCTAAGTTAGATGGCTATTTGATGGATATTTGATTATTTTTGATACACATTTGTTATAGGTCACTTAAGAGAGACCGATAAAATATCAAATTAAAGTATAAGAAGTTAAGAGTATTGAAGAAGTGCCAGATATAAGCAATTATATCATAATAAATATTTCGTACATTTATGTTAGCAGTTTAAATTTGTTATAAAGAAGAAGATACTTATTTACCTAAATATGTTTTAATGAAATTGCTATTTTATTTACGCACAATATTTTGAGTAATTTAAAATTAAGTAACGTTTTATCTTTACAATTAGAAATACGTGTACATTTAGTGGCATTAAAATTATAAACGTGAAGTAGCAATTTCATGTAAAAATCATGGGCCTTATATTGTTCAAAAGATAAAGCTTTCAGTTTTTACGGTAAACTTAGTTGTTTATATTTTTAAACATTAATATATAGCGCTTTTTATTTTAATCACTTTGTCGTTTTTATAAAATTGCATTTTACATAAAAATATAAAAATCGCTTTTTATGTATGTGTATTTTGTAAATAGTAATAAAGTTATATCACATATACATGTGTTTTTACATTCCTTTATTTTAATTAATGCGTGGCATTAACGGCTGTGCCCTAAACTTTAATTTTCAATCAACTTCAATAAAAATATTATAGTAATAAAAAACCTGACTTCATATTTATTTTTGATTATATTGTCTGGTGTATTTTTTTTGCATGTACCTATTGTTCTCTATTATTTGTATACGTGTTTTTTGCAATGTGTGTAACACCTATAATTAAGATAACATTTAGACTCGAAACTTGTGGGCATGCTGTAATTCTGTGTTTTTGTTAATGTATATCTTGTTGGTGTTAGTAATAAATAAATAAAAGCTAACTAAAAAGATGATAACAAGGTGTCGAAGGAATATAGTATTACGCAGTCAGCACACACGTTTCATCCTTGCGAGAATTGTACATATTATGTTTGTCTATATAGATTATAGATATTACTAGCATTGTCCGCGGATCCGCCAGTGTTCAGATGACCAAAAACCAAATTCTTAGGTTTTACATATTAGTATACTCTTACAGTGCATTTTACGTACTTTACATTGCAGTTTTTGTTTTTTTTTCTTAGAAATGAGATATTTTCCCGCGGTAAACAGTATCCTATATAATACCCGAATAACCAGCTGTCCAGTGGTTTTCTCGTGATGCGGTAACAGACAGACAGACAAAAATTCTAAAAACTATAGAGGACTCTACATAGATAATTATGTCGTTCGGCTTATTTACAATTAGTATATGTATAGAGTTTCGTACTCGGTGCCAGCCAATACAAATCAAAGCACACCGTCTTCAAAAATATCTGATTACGTATCTATAGTAAATTAAAACTACCAATTACTAATTAGTTTATTAATTTTTAATAGAGATCTTTTGAGCGGTGAAGAAGTTGATAGGGTGTAGCATCACTTAATGAATTACCTTTAACGAAATAAAAAATACCTTTTAGTGTAAAATATAAATATATTTTTTTTATCTTTATGACTTAGAGCTGCGGCAATTCATTCTGCCAATGTCACGGTTTGTAAGGAAGACACGAATGAGATTGAGCGGTAATTTTGAAATGTGGCAGCTATATTGTGGAATTAAAAGTTACTTTTAGTAATTATGCAACAATCTTCTAATTTTAAAGGCAACTGGCAAGTACCTATCACTAAATGTATGAATAATGCTTTGAATGTTTCATGATCAGATCGGCGAAATCAAGGTGTAAGTTTGTATTTATCTAATCGACTCAAATGAAACTTAAAAAATACCTTCAAATATATCATATAAAGGTAATTTACATCTCCCTATCAGGTGTGTACATAGTAAATATATTTATTTATTTTCCCGCTTTTTTAGATAGTGAAAGTTACTAATAATTTATATCCATTTATGCGGTTCTTTTGACATTTCATAAAATCGTTATATTTGTGATACACGAGAATATTTGCTGCAATATTATAAGTAAATTAATACATCAGCAGTTAATCATGTAGATTTTATTTATTAAATAAATAGGGAAAAATAAAATATTAATAATTCTCTAAATATTTTATTTTTTCAACGATAAGATAATAATATGAAGAAATCAAAACAGTAACGAAACGTAATAGTTGTTAAATGGCGGTGGCGCTTGTGTTGATCTGTTGTATTTTGTTTGAAAAAACGTCGCCTTGACGACAAAGTTACTGACTTTCATGAATTACAGTGTCGTTTTTACTATGAGTTTATTAAATTATGGATGAGGCCCAAAAAGATTTATCTCAGTCGTCGGAAATCAAGGTAAGTTTTCACTTCTATAGTACTCGTAACAGTTGTCAACAAAGACTGGGATATACAATATTTTAAACAAAAATGTTACAAAAACGTAACGATTTTGCGTTTATCGTAGGCTATATGTAGGTCTTTCATTTACCTTTTACAGTAAAACATATTTTAAGTGTTGGTTCTATATGTTTACTATTTCTACTCATACTCGCAATATCGAAGTATCGGAGATTTATTTATAATTTTTGTATATTTTTAGAATATTCTTCCGGATGTCGTTCATTCACAGCAGATTTCCTCATTGGAAGCCGTAGTAGAGCGTAATACAGACTCTGAAGCTGACACAACGCAACAAACTCACGAGAGCCAAGGTAACGATATTCAAGACGTTGAGGATGTTAGTGCTACAGAATCGATATCAGAGCACATTCCTTTCAAAGGTGAATATTCTATTACTGAATCTGAGCCTGGCCAATCATTATCCCAACATGGGTTGCTTAAAGTGGAGCTAAACAGTGAACAAGAATCAAAAAGCTCTTTAAATATTCCATTATCACATCAAAAAAACATTAATAGTCCAAACATACAAGAAAGTCAACATAGTGCTTCTTGGAATCTCGATGCTAATCAGTCAGATGTACATATTAGTGAAGAAAGCCCAGTAATACTTGCTTTATCATCTGATACGTCTAAAGAACTGCTAAAAACAAAATCACAATCATCCAGTTCAAGTAATCATGACTCTGACGAATCTCCAAGAAGTGAGTATATTGATTCACTCAATGATAACTCCAGTCACCAATCATTAGATGGCAAAGAAAATGATGACAATTTTAAAGAGAAATCTAATTTGTCCATGGATAAAGGGCCAGACTCCATAGAACAATGTAGTTCAGGGTCTGAGGAGATAATTAAATTAGATATAAGAGGGCAAGCTGCGCCAAAATATCCATTTCAAGCAGCAAAAATCTTTTTTGGTCCACCACCAGATGGGAGTACAATAGTAGGGCCCAATTTAGAGCCACTGCCGGTCTTTCAAACTTTGTTATCCCCTTGTCTTGTTGGTGCTAGTGATGGTGTCACGGTTGAGGAAGTATTTGAAGAAAAATCAGAATGCATTGTGAAAGAAGCTTCTCCGGAGAAATCCTTATCGCCGTCAGTATGTAGTGTTAGTGACAAAATAGAACAAGATGTATTGGTAGAGGAAATGACGGTGGAAGATGAAATAAAAGAGAAAAATTATGAGGGAACTACACCTCCTAAATCCTTTGCTCCTGAAGACATGTCCTTTAATACTATGAGTACTGACTATAAGACAATATGTGAAGAATATCATGTTAAGGTATTGATTCTAGGTAGACATAGCATGGTGTGTCGTCGGCTCAATGTGGTGAAGGCTTTATATGTTTCATTTGTGTTGTCGTCGTCTATAGCATGCTATGTGCACACATTTCTCCTATTTTACAGAATATATTATAGCATATTTCGTCTAAAACATTTGAAAATTTAATTTGTTTATGAAAGTCACAATAAATAAAGTATTATTGCACTAATTTTACCTTGTTTGCATATACACTTACCGAATATTTATAAAAATGCATGTCATTAGTATGCACCAATAAATGTCATAGGAGAAATCCTTAGTGTTACACTAATCTATTGGCAAAATTATATTTAAGAATTAATAAATATTTTACAACATTATGTGATTAACTCATTTGTTATATTCTATAGGGTTTTAATGGGTTTTCTGAAGATGATAATAGAGATGATAGTTAAAATAATAAAATTAGGATAAATTAAATTTTTCTAAAACTAATTTTTACTCATATCACTGTCTAATTTCATTAAAAAAAGTGAATGACATATGAGAATGCATTTTTGACAGTGCCTTTGTGTAATATATTTACGTAAACAATTTATATGAATAATTTCGATGTCATCAATTCATGAAGCAAGTATTGTACATACAACCGCTTTTGCTTATGTGTATATATTTATCAGCTTGTCTGTCCTTTCAGCTTGTGCACTTGGAAGAAGCTATCGCACACCGCGACCAACTAATCGAAGAGCTAACGCTCTCATTGCAGCGTTCGGTTCAGGATCGAGACGGTCTGAAACACGAAAATGAGCACCTCGCAAATGAAGTACAAAACTTACAGCATGCTATCGCGGAGAGATCTAACTCCGACCACGACACTATGAAAGGTCAACTATCTGATTACGTTAAATACCAAACAATGCTGAAAGAGGACACTACAAAGTTTTATTCCGCGCTAATGAGTGGAACAACGTCCTTACAAAGCTCTAATGGCGAGAAGGACATGGATAGAGACGAGATCACTGTAAATTATTCCAAATCTGACCTACGATCGACTGGCTCCTCAGACGAATTTCAAACTGGTTTCGAGAACAAATTGACGTCACTTCTCAATACATTCGAAGGATATATAGAGGAAAGTTTAAGGAATAAACTGCGTGAAAGCCTTATTCAAGTCCTCTGTGATGAAATTGGTAAAATGAGAGTGGAATACGACACTGATGTAAAAGAGCTCGAAAGCCAGGTGAAACAAGAAAAACAAACTTATACTACAGAAACCAGAAAATTAAGAGAACTCTTGTCTTCCGTTAAAGCTGGTAATGCAGATATAGATGAATTAAGGATGGAGTTAAGTATTAAACATGAAAAGGAGATGGAGAATTTAAGGACATATTTCGAAAAGAAGTGCTCAGACATGGAAAGAAGGTGAGCTTATGTATTAAATGTGTATGTATATTTAATATATGATTATATTGTTTTGCTAACTGTTGATAATTTTTTTCCTGCTGCTAGGCTTAAAGGGTAAGTTTTAATTTTTCAGTCTGTTTAATAAAAGTTAAGTTTTTTATATTATACAAAATAATATTGACAGTTAATTATCGTAGGTACTCTTACAGATAAATAGAATTACGTGAATATTTAACATTTTGAAAGAAACTATTTATTGCTGATTTATTTTGATGCTTAGTTTCTATCATTTCGAATGCTTTGTAAGAATCATATTTATTAAATAACGTCACTTTAACGTCGCGTCGGGAATCAAAAATCGAGCTAAGTTCACAAAAATATCTGTAAAAACATAGTTTTTTCTATACATATAATGAAATTGTAAGTAAGCCGAATCTGTACATTAATTTTTTTTTGGAAAATCTTATTGAAATAAACATTATTATCGATACAGATGCCGCATCTATAGTTTTTACATTTTTTGTCTGTCTGTTACTGCATCACAGAAAAAACCACTTAAGGGATTTTGATGAAATTTGGTATGGTGATAGCTGATTATCCGATTCATCATATAGGATACTTTTTACTGCGGGAAAATGTCTCATTTCTGAGAAAATATACAAAAACTGCAATGTAAGAGTACTAATATGTAAAACCTAAGAGTTTGGTTTTTTAGCAATGCTAGTTTTTAAATAAATAGAATCCAGTAAATGGTTATAACTTTAATTTATTTGCCTTTCTTTAAAATGAAACTTTTTTTAATTCACACCGTTGAATATGTGTATGTTTGCTAAACACCTGTATATATAGTTCTGTATGTATAGTATATATTCTTATAATAATAATAATAACAACTAAGCGAGCTCATGACTGCCGCAGCTACTCGGAGGAGGTTTGGCGCGGGCGCGCGGCCGTGTCGCCGCCGCCCGAGCCCGAGTTGGCGGCGGGCGACGCGCGGCGCCGCACGCGCTCCGTCGACTTCCCCGCTTGGAGTTTTGAGGCATGTTCCGTATGTTGGGGTGTCATATTTTCTATCAAACCCATGTGTAATAAATTTAACGTCCCACTGCTGGGCACGGGCCTGTCTCAATACGAGGGGTTCAGGCCATAAACCACCACGCTGGCCAAGTGGGGGTAGGCGAACTTCGTATGTTTTTCGAAAACTTCTCAGTTTCCTCACGATGTTTTCCTTTGTCGTAAGACAAGTGGTAATCGTGTTGGAAATGATTCGCGCATGAAAATATCAGAGGTACAAGACCCGGGATTTGAACCCACTTAATTCGGTTACCGAAGCGAGTGCTCTACTCACTGTGATATGCTCACCCACTGCCATAATCTATACTAATATTATAAAGAGGTAAAGTTTGTGAGTTTGTGACGTTGTTGGAGGTAATCTCTGGATCTACTGAACCGATATAGATGAGGTAAGAAAATAGTTTGACGCCCTGGGAAGGACATAGGATACTTTTTATCTCGGAAATCATCCCTTAAGAGGGTGAAAATGGGGATGAAAGTTTGTATGGGGCTTGTATGGGGGTTTGTAGGGGGTAGTGAACATTTAAAATAATAAATATAAAAAGTGAATCATCACTTTAATTGTAATTACTTATCAATCAATATATAGACATCCTCACTGACTGAAATATTATTTAAAGATGAACTTTTTTCATATTTAATAGCAATCCTTTAATTCAGTATCTCACGAAAACTAATGTACGGGGGATAAAAATAGGCTTTTTCGCCTTTTTTGTATGTCACGTCATTGTTTTTTTCTCTATTCAATTTTAGAATTAATATTTATTTTTATGTTTTTTTAGACGTCTACACCGATAGAAAATACGTTGAAACTAACTAATAAGAAACTGGAGCAACAGTTGGAGGATCTGAAAGCAGAACATATTACATACATCAATGAGCTGCAAGCTAGACATAAAGAGACCATTGCTGATCTTGAAGAGCAGGTATAGTTGTGTAATAAATATATATTAAAACTAAAAAAAACATAACATAATATAGTTTAATACCATTATTATTATTATCTTACTATTTTTATAAATGCGAAAGTTTGGATGTTTGTTACTCAATCACGTCTGAACGGCTATACGGATCTGGGTGAAATTTGGTACTGAGATAGATTGTAATCTGGAATAGCACATAGGTTACTTTTATCCCGGAAAAATGTACGGTTCCCGAGGGATAGATTTGCATTTGTTTTTCACAGATACTAACCGTTAAATCTTACCGTAGTTGTTAACTAAAAAAACTTTCGATTTACTGTTCATGGTTTATTATACTAATGACTTACAATTACTTCGCTCGAGTGAATCTCTAGCTGCGGAACAATAGCCTATGTGTTACCCCAGGTCATAGTCTTTCTGTGTATTAAATTTTGTTCAAATCTATCCAGTCAGGTCAGCGGAGCGGAGAAATAAACATACATAATATGTATGACACACACACACACATACAAACTTTCTCGTTTAAAATAGTATAGTTAGATTAATAACAAAAAAATCTTTATCAGGTTTTCTGTTTGTTATATTGTCCATAATTTATTTTAATTTAACGCTTCATTTTTTTTTAAGTATTTCAAATTGAAGTATGTATTAAAATTGTTACAGATAACACAGCTTAAAGCGCACATCCAGACTGCAGAGAACACAGAGGGCCACGTGTCCTCTCTCTACCAGCAGGACATAGACCTGGAACTGGAGAAGGTCAGGATTTTACCCTCTATCCCTGTAATGATGTGTGGCGGTGACCCTCTTACCATGCATATACCCATATTACCCCCAAATAGTATAGTAAATTTACATTGTACAGTTAACATTTGTTATCTTCTAATTGTACTCTAAAGATATCATAAGCTTTTATTGCAAATCTAAAGTGCACTTTCAACTATTTAATTTCAATAGAAATAATTTTCATGTGGTGATGCTGAAGTACTTATTTCTTTATCATTGTTATATTTAAAAATTTTACACAGATTATTTAAGATGAACGAATTTTAATTTGGTTTGAATAAAGTTTGTGAAGCTATTTAAAAATGTGCCATGTTCAGGAATAGAGTTTGCGATCTCCAGGTAAGTTATCATACAGTCTGTTTTGTTATAAATAAGTATTTTCTACGTCGAGGAAAAGTCTGTTTTAACCTATATTTTTGAAAATGTATGTTTATTTAAAATTTTATTCAAATCCGTCGAGTCATTACAAACTGACATACTTTCGCATATATATCAATTTTTGATAGGACGACACTGTAAGAATGAAGAAGAAGTAAGCGCTTCTGCAGAACTCGTTGGGTTCACTGTACAATATATTTTTATTTTCTCAATGCATTTTTCTTACTAAATGGTGTTTAAGAGATATTTCATTTAACCCACACTTCAACCAGTCAACAAAGGCTCTATTACTTTTTGGTGTTTAAAATTTTATCCGCTATATGTAAACATCCCGACCATTGTTTCACTGTCGCGTATTGGTACCGTGTATTGAATAAAAAGTATTTGTTAAAAAAAACTTGCAATAATATTTTAGTTGTAAAAACACTAAGTATCAAAGTGATTTTTATTAGTTGTAAATGAATTTAATATTAAATAATCTTCTTTTTCTTGAAGTCGGTTAAGAATTAATAATAAATATAAACACAGTTTAGTATAAATTTTTATATTAAAAAGTTTAGAATTAGTCGATATTATTTACGTCGGTCCAATACACGACAGTGGACACATACACATATATATGTAAAGCTGCCGTAAATGTCTGTGCATGCCGAATGCGACTAACGCAGGAGGGGCGCGACGCCGCCGCGCGCCGCGCCGTGCTGCAGCAGGTGCAGGACCAGCTGCAGGTTTGTGCACTCCCTTGTTTATCTATCTCTCTGTCTCGGTTCACCTACGCCAACTGCGGCTCGTCTTTGGATGGGTGGCCGTTTTGTCATTTAATTATTAATTGTTTATACGGATAGTGGTCTCCTTGAGACCATCGATCTCTAGATGAAATATATGCTTAGAATAAACCACGGGTGATATAACTTATTTAGCGCCATCTATCGTCTATTTAAATAAAACAAATATGCTGTCGCCGTTTTGTTTTGTCTAAATAGGCGATAGATGGCGCTTAAAAAAAATTAAACTTTATTTTATAAGAGTGTGTGTAAAATGTAGGAAAATATAGTGTTTTTATTACTTGTGGTGACTAAAACTGGGTTAAACAATTCATGAAATGCTAACAACACTCCTTTAGATACATAATACAAACTTTTATAGCTTATTTATAATGGCTAATATATCAATTATTTATCAATGAAATTGTTCAATTGTAAAAATTTAGTTTTAGAATTCTTATTTAAACAAAAAAAAATCTTATTAATAAAAATGAACGGCTAGATGCGTTGCTAAGCGCAAAACTTACATACTTCAAAAGTATTGGTTGAAGTCCCAGAAAGGTTCTTATGAAGAGAAAAATTGGAAAAATTTAACGAAAAAACGGAAAATCACTTTTTTTGCCTTACTACTACTTAACACTTACGAATCACTTAAAATTCATATAAACTACTTGAATCATTTGTAGTTTTGATACTTTTTCTCTCTACGATATACAGTTTGAATTTGTATGTTTGTCCTTTTTTCACGTCAAAACTGAGTCGAATCTGTACATTAAATATTTTTTGGAAAGTCTTATTGAAGTAGACTTTATTATCGATACAGAGGCCGAATCTATAATTTTTAGAATTTTTGTCTGTCTGTTTGTCTGTTACCGCATCACGAGAAAACTACTGGACAGATTTTGATGAAATTTGGTATGATGATAGCTGGTTATCCGTGTCAACATATAGGATACTTTTTACTGCGGGAAAATATCTCATTCCTGAGAAAAAATACAAAACTGAAGAAGGCACCATTTCATCGATGTTCATTTTGCCAACTCAAAACTAAACTTACTTTAGTCTAGCTCTAGCAGCTTAACTGTTAAAAGTCTATTTAATTTTTCGTTTATTTATTTTATTAAATTAATCTTCTTTATGACAAAAACTTAATATATATAATGTGAAACTAAAAAAAATGTGTAATTTGTAAAGAAATTGCGTATTATGTATTTATAAGCTTTTATACTTTATCTATGACTTGTTGAATGGTGTAATCAGAATAGCATGTCACTCAACCCCAACAAATGTAGTTTTATTAAGTTTACAAGGAAAAAGCACCCAATTATGAGTTCATATACTATTATGAACACAACATTAAAAAATTCTGACCAGATTCGGGATTTGGGAGTTATTTTCGATAGCCAACTTAGGTTTGATAAACATATAAACTCAATAGTAACTGCCGCATTTAGATCACTCGGTTTTATTCTAAGACAGTCCAGAGACTTCAAAAAAGCTTCAACTATTATACAATTATATAACAGCATGGTCAGGAGCAAATTAGAATATTGTTGTCAGGTTTGGTCTCCTACTTCTAAAACCTATATTACTAGAATTGAACGAATTCAAAAGAAATTGATTAAACACCTGAAATTCCGTTTCAAAACTACAGGACTTTCTGAATCATATGAAAACAAACTTACTTTTTTCAAAATGAAGCCATTAGTTACACGTAGATCTCTTCTTGAACTTAAGCTCCTATATAATATCTTTAATGGTAAAATCGATGATGAGAAGCTGTTAGAGAGGCTCAACATTAATGTTCCTAGAAGGCCACCTCGCTACCCATGTCCATTATTTAAAACTCATAAATGTCGCACTAAGTTAGGTGGTAATGCTCCGTTATCACGTATCACACGATCATACAACAACTGCGTAAAGCGCATGACATCTTTGGACATTGGTTGTGATGGGCTCTCACAATTTATAAAAAAATGTGAAAAGTGTATTTTATAAGTTTTATAGGTTTAACAGTATTTTCTTAATGTAATTGTTAAGTTTAATTTAATTATTGTTATTTTGTTTCTTTTTGTAACTGTATCCATTTTATTGTGTTTATTATGTGTATTTAGGCATTATAAAACACTGTTTTTTTTGCGAATGATGTGTTCTCCTATAATTAGTAATACATAAATATAAATTAGATTTAGGTAGCTATATTGTTAATGAAAAAATTATGTATACTGTTGGAGATCCATATAAGTAAATAAATAAAAAATAAATAAATCTGAAGTAGGTACGCCAGTGGATTATAATAAATATTTAAATTTAAGTATGCACTGATGACGGTCAGATCGATGTAAACACTCCGTGTGGCGTATTGTAGTCATAAATATAACATGAATTCGTACGATTTGTTTGAAAAAGACTCACTTGACCCATTTTGCTATAATTATAAGAGTAAATGGACCAAATAAACATTTGCGTTATGAATTGTGTTTATGTAATGTTGTGTCTAGACTTTTAGGAGTTTTAGGGCACTTTGATCATAGGAGCGTGTTTTCAACCGACTTCCTCAAAAAGGAGGAGGTTCTCAATTCGGCTGTATTTTTTTTATGTTTGTTACCACACGCACGTGCACGCCGATACAAAGCAAAGCACACCGACTTCGAAAATATTTCATTAGGTATGTATAGTAAATGAAAACTACCAATCAGCTATTTTTTACTTTTTAGTGCTTTTGTTTAAAGTCGGTTTTTATTTTTTTGTTAAAAAGTTTTTATTACGCAATAACGTCGTAGCTCAAAGGAGGGTTTTTGACCTGTATATACATACATACGTGTACATTATATGCATGTCTGTTCCCTTGTAATTACTAAACGGTTTAATCTTCATGGTTCCCGTTCTTAGGTCATTAGGTTCGTCATATTAATGCGATTGTCATAGGGAACATGAATATTTTTTAAAATTAAAATGGCGTATTTCACACGTCAATTTGTGTCTTGAAAAAAAAAACATCTAAAATATTGAGTGGGGTATCAAAACAAAGGCTTTTAAGCGGCAATTATTTAATATGTAATGCAATTAAACAAAAATTATGTTTATTCCTTTGAGTGGTGTAAAAATATATGTACTGTATGTATTTCGGTAGGTACTGATAACGCCACTATTTTCGTCTTATATTACTACTCCTTGGAAACTTTCAAGACTGTGACAAAAATTGTGTTTACCAGCCTGTGACAAATTCTATTTATTTATGGATTGTATTTCTTTTCGTGATATCTGATTTCGATTTATCTATACATATAATAAAATTCTAACTGAGTCGAATCTGTACATTAAATATTTTTTGGAAAATCTTATTGAAATAGTCATTACTACCGATACAGAGGTCGAATCTATAGTTTTTAAATTTTTTGTTTGTCTGTCTGCCTGGGAACCACTGGACAGATTTTGATGTGATAGCTGGTTATCCGAGTCAATATATGGTGTACATTTTACTGCGGGAAAATATCTCTTCTTTGAGAAATCTATACTACCTGTTAAAACGTTCCGAGCAGAGTGAGAGATTCTAGTTTTGCTATATATCTAAACACTTTATTTAGTACAATTATATCACTTTATAATGAAGACAAAATAGAAAATCTAAATGTTTTCATTCAACTTAACGAGGCAGTGTCCTATTTGTTAGATGTCAATGTATTTAATAACAGCACATTACACCCGGAACACTTGGTGTTGCCAAATATATTGGGGTCGTGTCGCCTGATTGCTACAAAGACTGGCACTGTTTACTATATTCACTTTTATAATTCTAACATTTTAAAAGAAGCAATGGTAGCTCAGTGGTTACGCGCTCACTCGGGAAACCCAAGTGATGTGGGCTCAAATCCCGGTTCTCACAACTCTAATATTTTCATGTGCAAATCATTACTAACATGATTACTACTTGTCTTACGGTGAAGGAAAACAACACGACGAGGAAAGTTTGAGAGAACCTTACAAGTTTTCGCAAGACATGTGAAGGCCGCTCGCACTTGGCCAGCGTGGTGGACTACGATCTGATATGCCCAACAGTGTGACGTTGAAAAGGGCTGAATAAATACATACATGCATATCTTAAAAATAAGTATTTTTTGTGATATATTTAATCCCTCAACGACCGCGGACACGCCGGCGTTGCAGTTAACAATAGATTTCTTAGAAATTTAATTAATTTCTTAGACATTTAATGAATTTCTTAGAAATTTATCTGGAGGTGTTAGATAGTAGGATCGATCGATCCATAGTCCCCCGCTGCACTATGCGACGACTACAGAAACTGTTATTTGTATGATAGTCGCGATTACTTGATCTCTTATGGCGGATCTCAAATAGTCTTAAGTAGTGGCTTATCTTACTAGAGATAGATATTTGACATAAGCTATATACAAATGATTTCAAACTTATCTCTAGAAAGGAGAACTACACTTCAAGTTAGATAGGTTATCGGACATTGCTGTTAGAGCACGTGTGGGGTTGATAGCATGATACGAGCTAATCTGAAATATCCCACGGGAACCTTAAAAAAATATATAAAATACCTTCTTCGGCCCATAAGCAGTAAAATCATATCGATTTGCTTTGTTTCTTTGTAAAAGGTTTACGTACCATACGAACGCATGTATAAAATTAGGTGCAGCTTTTTTTTATTGGGTCAATAAAAATATTATTTGACATAAATTGTTATTATGTAATTACGTATGTTTATAAAAATCGATACCTTAAATGACAAACCAGCCAACTCCACATTTACCACCACGTCAAAAATTATTTTTCGTGTCAGATTGTACGCAACATAATTCAGTAGGTTTTTACATGATGTATCAAAAATAACAGCTTACGGTATTATCTACCGACGGTATTTTAGATTTTTTAATAAGTAGCGTACAAAAAATATTATAAAGTGAAGTTAGCTACTTTGCCTAATAAGGTATCGAAATGTCGATTCTGGTGGTTACTATTTTTTTCACATAGTACATATGTATATTTAATATATTAGTAATGAATGAAGACTATAACATAATTTAATTTTCTTTCGTGAATTAATAAATACTGGGAGACTAAAACTAATATTTTTTTATAATCAATGATACCTATTCTATTCTATGTGATAATAAATATTTATAATTTATATGTAAAATATACTGAGTAAATATGTACACATATATAGTCACGTGACGAATGCTTCAATGAGCAGTGGACGATGTACCTAAGCACTTAAGCCTACGCTCGTTCTCGTAGTTTGGACTAGCGCCAGTCTGAAAAGTTCACCATTAATAAAATCATTCCCTTCCCTCGGGACGCTGAAATAGACCAAGGTTCCATCAGTTGTTGTGACGGTACCAATATTGTCACATTCAAAATACGTTGAAAGCGTGATTCGGTAACTATTTTGAAGTAAATTTACGTTTTTACTACAATTTTTTATGCTTACGGTGCATTTTCATTGTTATTTTTTGTGTTTATTTGAAGTGATAGTGGATAAAATGTGATAAGGCATGCCAGAACGCTACCTCGTTTATTTGAGTCACGTGAGTTGAATATATAGTTTAAATTATGCACGTTTGGGTCTATCTACGCTAGGTTTATTGTAATGTACAACGTGGATGACTTTAACATTGGGTTTTTTATTATGTTGCTCGAGCTCATGGCTTATGGTTGGAATATAAAAAATATTATGGAAGGTCATGTCTTAAGAAGAACTTGTATTATTATATAAAAATGTTTAACGTTAAAAGTTAAAATATTGTAAGGTTCTTTGATGCTATTTTTCAATTTTTGAATTCATTTTATTATTTGTGGGTAGGCTGTCTGTAACAACTATATAATATCTTAGAGACATCTAACACCTCATTCTCTCCCGTGACCATGATTGCTGTAAAGCATTTGAAACGTCGGGAACCAAAAATGGAAAATAAATTCGCGAAAAAATCCGAATAGATAGTTTTATTTAAAATGTCATGTATTCGCGTAAATCTAAGAAAGTACGAGTATTACTTGTATTATTATTGAAACAAACATCAAATCCCATCTTCCGCTGTTAATATAAACGATCATCGATCATTTATGTTATTGCTTCGAATACACGAGACCTTTTCATCACTGGGATGATTTTAACTTAATCTAATATTAGTGTGGTACAGTCATCGACAAAGTGAACGCACTTTTGAAATACACTCGCTTAATCTGGCGTATCGCCAAAACAAGTGGCATTTTTCGCGTGACTGTCCCCGTTTTTGACCACGCTGTCTCGTTTAATTATTTTTGTCTAATCATTTTTTTACGGGAGCCCTTGAAGGGTTTATAAATAATAATAATAATTAGTACCTATACGAGCTTTTTTATGTTTAGATTACTTTACATTTAGATTAAATCTCAGTGCATCTAAGTTAAGAATAAATTACACTATGTACTTGTTATGTTCAATGGTTTTTAGACAAGTTTACTTTATATGTCGAGATTGGTATCTACTTTATATAACGTAAGGAAAGCATTATAAATAATAAATAATATAATAAATATGTTGAGACATTAACACACAGCACCATCTAGTTCCACGGTAAGCTACGAGGCGTGTGTTATGGATACCAGATAGTTGATACACTACACATATATAACTTTAGATACATATTATAAATATAAACACCCATGACTGGAGTACAAACATGCTCAATACACAAATGAATGCCCCCAGCGGGACTCGAACCCGTGACCGCTGGCGGAGCAAGTAGGGTCACTACAAACTGAGCCAAACGTGTCGCACTATGAATGTTTGACACATGTTTTATGGCTTAGCTAACTAACTGAAGACAGTGGATAGACGTTTGAAAGAATGATTATAAATGTTCACACATTTCTGATGTTATATGGCATTCAACATATACGTAGTTACAAAGTTACGAAGTTTAAATATTCGAAAATTTGATAGTCGGTGTCAGTTGTAATGCTAGTATAAGTAGTTTATGTTTGATGAACTAATATTAGCAAATAACAGTTGAAAACTAGAAAAACGGCGTCCAAAAAATTGAATTCGAATAAACTGAAGACGTGACTTAAATCATTAAATAACGATGCTTTTTACCTCATAACTAACATAAAAATAAACACATTATCTAATAACCCCTATAAGACAATAGGTACTCTTGATTAGGATGTTTATCCTAATTAGTGGACACTATATAAATTACTTTACTTTCTTATCTTCTAAGCAATAAGGTGCACTATTGCTAGCTACAATATTGTTTGTTTTCATCACAATCGCTTGTGATAAGGGTGGTGGGGTCACGATCTATATATTCTTTATTTCTTACTTGTACAGTAGAAGTGTGAATGTTAATAAATGCATAAGTATTCATAATCTTTTAATTTAAAGTGTTAAGTGTTAATTTGTAAAAAGTGAAATTGTAAAGTGCGAAATGGAGGATATAATCGTAAGTTTCCAAGTGTTTATGTTCCTATTATCCCATACTTAAACAGCTGAGTTGTATAACATGACCTTATATATCTATAACAATATACGACTTTTGTATTTGTTCATTATTGGAGTGATTTACTCGTACATATGTATATAAAAATATACTTAAAATATTATTTAATGTTTCAAATAACACATTTCACTTTAAAATATTTATGCTTTCACCTTTACCTATGACAAGCATTGCCCGCAGCTTCGCCCTCGTTCAGATGACCAAAAACCAAATTCTTAGGTTTTACACATTAGTATACTCTTACAATGCAGTTTTTGTGTTTTTTCTCAGAAATGAGATATTTACCCGCGTTGAAAAGTATCCTATATGTTGACCCGGATAACCAGCTATCATATTACCAAATTTCATCGAAATCTGTCAGTAGTTTTCTCTTGATGCGGTAACAGACAGACAGGCTGACAGATAGACTTGCAGACAGACAGACAGACAGAAAGTTTTTAAAAACTATAGATTCGGACTCTGTATCGATAATAATGTCTATTTCAATTAGATTTTCCAAAAAATATTTAATGTACAGATTCGACTTAGTTACAATTTTATTATATGTATAGATTATACTTACCTACCATGTTATTTATTTAAATGATCAGCATTATGTTATATTAATGTTGTTTTAAAATAAAACTATTTGGTTTTGGTTTATAAAGCATGTTGTAGGTACTTATTATAAATAGAAAATTCATTTTGAAGACTTGCAAAGATTTTTTGCAAATAGACGGATATCTGTTATCATCACTTCTTATATACATTCAATATTAAATGTAAATAACAATCTGCATTGCTTCTACGGTTGGAAACCTACTTTTAGTAATTGCAAGTAAATCTTATCTTTGCTTTGCTTTTTGTAAATTTTGTATATTCACACGTATTTTTGTATATTTGTATACTTGTGTATTCACACGCAAAATAATCATTTTGCTAATGATAAGAAGCATATCTGTATATACATAAATATTTTCTTAGTTTAATCTAAAAATCTATATAAGTATTTAAAATGAATACCCGATGGACCCATAAAAGTTCACACAGTTTGATGGTCTGCGCTGTTTGCTTAACATTGTTGCCGATATTTTTTTATTTACTTGCTAAGTGAACTTTTATATTATTTTATTAATTAATATAATATTTAGGGCGTAAACGACTGAGTACGTATTAAGTATTTCATAATATTATTTATTTATATTGATCGTATTTTTCAAAATAACAGTGCAATGGTATGTTAAAATTATTGTTTGCACGATTCTGTAGTTTTACCGAACGTATAATTAAGACGGCTGAACGGATTTTAACGAGACTTTCAATTACGGGTAGTAAATCTGAATGGTACAATTTTCGTTCTATATCATTTTATTTCAATATGGAGGAAAAATTGTGGTACAACTACCAGTAACTAAAACAAATGGTTCGTAATATATAACAATTGTTTATTATTCATGGGAATAATTTTGTTACAGCATGAATATTTGGAATTTTATATTTCATAATAATAAAATTTTAAATGTTTAAAACCAAAATAGATATTCATAATTATTTATATATTTCCAATAGGTGCTACTGTCTGACCCAGACGCGGAGCTGTCAAGTTGGCCGTTGGAGCTCGTGGCGCTGCGGGATCGTATCCATGCTGAGAAAACGCAAGATAAAGAGGTTAGTTCATTATATTTACTATTTTTAACCGACTTCCAAAAAGGAGGAGGTTCTCAATTCGTTGGAATACTTGTTTTTTTAAACATTATTTTGCAGGTTCTATTCATCTTATATTACATAAGAAGTTGATCTCAATTTTTGTTATTAAATGGTAGGTGGTAGAAAGAATTCTGAATAAAATTTTTACTGCGATTTTTAAAACAATATTTGAACTCACGAGCGTAGTTTAACAAATCAGGTAACGAGGCAATATATTAGTAGATATTTACTGCATCGGTCACATCTAAATCTGTGAGTCGAAACCAATTAAACAGTGCCATCAATATACGCGTCTGTATAGTAGGGGACCCCAACAGGGGATTTTTGTAGTTACTCAAGCGCGGCAGATTAACATAAAAGAGGTTACCTTGCACTCTATTGAGTACTTTCACCATAATATAAGTCTTCTATATAAAGGGGCGCGTCTAGGGAAGCCGATTAAAATATTTAAAAAATGTTTTGATAAGGTAGAAATACTTGAAATCGACTATAAAGTTTATTATGATTTTTGCCTCTTAGGCTTGTGCAAATCGGCAGATTATTAAATTGGACACTTTTCAGGATGTGACTAGCCTACCACACCTTAATCTGACGGTTTCAAGTATTTCTACCTTATCAAAACATTTTTTAAATATTTTAATCGGCTTCCCTAGACGCGCCCCTTTATATAGAAGACTTATATTGTGGTGAAAGTACTCAATAGAGTGCAAGGTCTTTTATGTTAATCTGCCGCGCTCGAGTAACTACAGAAAATCCCCTCTTGGGCTCCCCTACTAGTATCAATAAGACTGTAGTGCTTTACACGACTTTCGACAGAGATGCTATAATTTAATGCAGTCTAATATTCAAATGACAATGATTTTTTTGATTTGTGGAAACTTAAGTACGAAAGTTTTCACCATAAATGATTTCGTTTTTTTTTAATTCAAACAAATAATGGTGGAAAAATGATTTGACAATACGAATATGGTGTTTAAAATATTATGGCAAACAAAAATATGTTATTATAGTTTTTTTTAAATATATATTAGGTATATTTCTGACCAATGGAATCACATGAGTATAGTTTAAACTTCGTCTGAGAATCGATCTTGAGCTCTCTTGTATTTTTATTATTTACTAGCGACTTACTCTCGCTTCGCGCGGGTACGTCGCTAGTTACGCGGATTTTGTTAATAATTTGAAGGATTTATTTTTGCGTGGAACCCTAATTCTTTTTTCGAAGTAAAAGTATCCTAAGTTAGTCTTTATGACATCAGCTATCTGCCAGTAAAAGCCCCGTCAAAATCGGTCCAGTCGTTTCGGAGATTAGCCGGAACAAACGTATACATATGCATAATAAAAAGCTGTTATTTTGGGATTACATACATACCCTTCAATTTAATTTATCTGTATAGATAGTTAAAAAAAATCTACACAAAAAACAAGTCCATTTACGTTGTAAGCAGAAGTCCCAGATAAATCTATGGCGAACGATATAAATACCGCCACCCTCGCATTCCCCTCACATGAGCGCATCTACATGGCGTCTAACTATTGATTGTGTTTTATTAGAGATATTTGTCGCATTTCGTCATTTCTTGCCTTGTACCGTAAAAATATACGATTAGAGTATTTACGTACATACATATATCACCTATTTGTCTGTATGTTATTGTTTTTTACTAAACTCATATAAATAAGTCATATGTTTGTTCTGTGTGATAATAAATGATACGAGTGAGATGATGTGATAGTATACACTACTAGAGGTGAAAGTTTTGGGGAGACTTGAATTAATTCCGGATATATTAATCTGATTTCGAAGATCCTTTGGGTAATAAAAAGACCTTATTCAGCTCTTTTTACGTCCCACTGCTGGGACCATACAAGGGGGTTTTAGGCCATTGTCCACTACGCTGGCCAAGTGCGGGTTATTTGTGGAATACGTAAGAATATTGTAAAAAGTTACTTTAGTATGCGCTAGGAATAGTCACGACTTATGACAAAAGTGACAAATAAGGCGTTGAGTAAAAGCATAAGTATCTAATAGGTATCTCAAATTCTTGATAACTATTCGATACTTCAGTTTGTATTCAGCCCTTTTTAACGCCCCACTGCTGGTCACGGGCCTCCCTTCAGTACGAGGGGAATCAGGCCATAGTCCATCTCGCTGGCCGAGTGCGGGTTGGCGGACTTTACATGTCTTTTAAAAACTTGCTAGGTTCTCTCAGACATGCAGGTTTCCTCAAGATGTTTTCCCTTCACCGTTAAGACAAGTGGTAATCATGTTGGAAATGATTCGCACATGAAAATATATGAGGTGATTTGAACTCGCTTCACTCGGTTTCCCAATCGAGCGCGTTACCACTGGGCTACCACCGCCTTACTTACTTTAGTTTAAATAACGGATAAAAAAATCAGTACATCGAAATTCCTTTAAGTTATTGCAAACACTATAAACCTCTCGGATGTTTTAAACGTCTCAATTGACTCATATCTTGCAAATTTAAACCGTCGTTGCAGCAATTTAATAGGTTTTAACGCTTCTTTATTGCGCGGGTATCCATTGACAGACGATCGTGTTACGTTTTATTAGTCTTGACTGCTTGTTGGAGCAAATCCTTGGTGTCTTATTACAATTTAACTGCTTTAAAAATAACGTATGAAGTATGAAACAATGTTGGTACGTCTGAGTTTGCATGAAATCTTGGTATGGATAAATAAATTGATTGATTTATAGTAGATATTTTAAGTTTTTTGTAAATACTACTTAAAAGTAAATTTAACAAATTTTAGAACATATTAAATTTAATTATTAATGTAACCAAATGAAAATATAGATAAATTATTTTATAAACACTCTTAAAAAGGAAAGCTTTGGCTAATAGACCAATTGAGATAAAACTACATATTTTTCTATAATCAATGTACTCAATTCATTACATTTAAATGAAGGATAAATTTCAATATTGGTCCCATAAAAATTCCATCTTCTCTATATGCCTTAGCATAATTACTTTTGAAATAATTTTTAATACGTTTAAAATAACCTTTAAAAGCCATTACAGTTGCGAACTAATAAATATTTACTCTAACTGAGCAGTCAGCACATATTATTTCTCAAATGTAGAAATTATGAATAATTTTGTATAGGTGTACCCGTACCTATCCACGTCTACGTGCAGCGCGGGTTAGTGAACTGACACGCTAATTATACGCCTGCATTTACTACGTCTAATCAAATGTCGCGGGGCAGTGGCGGGCTGAGATAAACATTTATCCAGTGTATGTAAAACTTAATGAGGCATTAACTGGCGCTTACACTAACTAGAAAATGTTTTATTTTATTTGTATTACTCTATTATATGAGTCTCATTGATTCTAAATACCCTTTAAAAGCTCGTAAATAAGCTAATTTCAGGTATAAGGCAATGACTCGACTCGTTTTCGATCTGAAAGGATTATGTTTTTCTAATAGAAACGATTTGCCTGGTTGAGAGTATCTTATTCTACAGGCTATAGCTTATTATCCCAGAACAACTGATCGTTTTCACAGAAATTATTTGAAACGTGCGTTTTAATTTTTTTTGAGTGGAACCCTATTTCTTTTTCTAAAATAAAAGTAGCCTATGTTACTCCCTATAATATCAGCTACCTTCCAGTGAAAGTCCCGTCAAAATCTGTCCAGCCGTTTCAGAGATTATCCAGAACGAACAGACAGACAAAAAATTTTTTATAAGTACCGTATATAATTTCATATGCATTCAGTAAAAACTTGTTATTTTGACATTACAAACAGACACTTCATTTTTATTTACCTGTATAGATGATCAAAATCGAACCCACAATCTCCAATTTAATAAAAACTGCTCCAGATTGTCGCCTTATTGTTAGTTCGTAGTTTATATTTGAGCTGAGTTATTACAGTAAAGACAAATACACGAATAAATCACGCTAGTCGTCTACTACAGCTATGTTGCATCTAGCGCATGTCTCGGAAGCGAGTGCAGACGTCTCTGTGGGCGGGCGGGATTAGGTTCGCGTCTCGCGACGCTGCAAATTATTATTTATTGGTTTGAAAAATGTCGGGCGTTCTGCAATCACATGCTACATGCTAGGTACATACTATTTTTATGTAAAAATCATTTGTTTTTGTTACTTAATTTCACACTTTTATTATTTTTATATTAGTCAATTGTAAGGTAATATAAATTATGTTGTTTTGATTGCTTAAATAAATAATAGATAAATATGTTAGCAGTTGGGGTATTAACACACAGCACCATCTAGTTCCATGGTGTTTTGTTGTGTTCCAAGGTGTGTTTCCACGAGGCTTGTGTTATGGGTACCAGATAGTTGGTACACTACACATATTATATAATTTTAAATACCTACATATTTATATAAAAGTATTTTATACATAGCGTTATATTAATGTACTCAAATTTAGTGTAGTATCTAGTGTACCTTTTTTCTTGTATTTAATTTTATTTAAAAGATAGTAAATTTTTTTGGGAGTAGATAAACTATAGTTATATTACTATAGATAAACTCGAAATACATAGAAAATTATAAATGTGAACAAAAATCTGCGTCACGTATGACTTTAATCTATACATATAATAAAATTCTGAGTTGAATCTGTACGTGAAATATTTTTTGGAAAATCTTATTGAAACATTCACTATTATCGATACAGAGGCCGAATCTGTAGTTTTTACACTGAACAAATTTTAATGAAATTTGGTATGATGATAGCTGGTTATTCGGGTCACCATATAGGATACTTTTTACTGCGAGAAAGTATCTTATCTCTGAAAAATCTATACTAAACGTTAAAACGTAAGGGACGAACCCGAGCGACGCAAGGGTGACTGGCTAGTTTTCGAAATAAGTACATATGTTAGAGCGCTGTTGGATTTGGTAGAATGTATTTCACAGCTTATATGTAGACATATATTAGACGTTATCAAAATTCC